AATTCCCACCTGGAATCATCTTTCTGCCTAGATAACTATTTTTAACTTTTATTTAATAAGTGTGTCATCTTTGGTCTTCTAAAATCTTTGCTGTCATTTATGCATTTATTTTGATTTTGTGTGTATGGATGTTTTGCCTGCATGCCATGTGTGTGCAGTGCCCACAGAGTTCAAAAGAGGGCGCCCTATCCCCCTGGAACTGGAGTTAACGTTGAGAGCCCAGATGAAGGTGTGAGGAGTCAAACCTGGGTCCTCTGGAAAGCGACCAGTGCTCTTTACCACCGAGTCACCTCCTCACCCCTTGGTTTTCATGTTTGAAGGGTGCTTTTCTTTCTGAAAAATGTTATCACCTCCCTCCTTCACTTCCGGAACTTTAAATACATCTTTAGGTTATAGTTATAATGAATTCTGATTTTTTTTCCTATTTGTGTTTCCTTTACTTATCTTATTGCCGACGACTGAATTCTGATTTTTAACTTTCTATTTATAAACATTCTTGAACTTACCAAACTTTGCAAAATAAAACCATAATGCATTTATACAATCTTTAAACTACTGTACATAACCACCATATACTGATCAAATCTAGAAAACGTATATAGGGATACTACATTGTGTTGATAATATCAATCATTCTAATCTTTTCAACTGCCCCATGTTTTCTGGTTTAGAGTCCACTTCCAGAGCTCCCAGTGCACGTGGTTTTCATGTCGCTTGATTGTCCTCCCACCCAGACAATACAGGCTTGTTTCTTTTCTCTCCAGGCCCGTGGAAGGATTATGCCTAGATGTTGTGTAGGTTTTTCATTTTAGGCTTGTCTGAGGATTTTTCCTGTTAACCTCAGTTTGTACGATGTGGGTAAGAATCTCACAGAAATCGAGTGTGTTTTTCACTTCAGCATATCGACTGGTTGACAAAACTTGAGGTGCAAATCCAGCTTCAGGTGAGAAATCCAGCCTCATCTCACCTTTGTACTCTGTGTGTAGTGTGTCTTTTTTGGGCTGATTTTAACAGTTTTCTCTTGATACTTGGTCATGTTGTTCCTTGCCTGAGGTGCTTTGTGTTTCTCTTGTGGATTTGTTTGTCAAGTTCTGACAAAGTGAAACAAAAGAAAGCAAGAGTAGATACCAGGCATTTCTCGTTAGCTTTCTTATTGCTGTGACAAATGCTTCCCAGAACAGCTCAAAAGAGGAAAAATAATTAATTTAGCTTAGAGTGCAGGCATTTCCAAATCATGATCATTGAATCCACTTGTTTGGGAGCTGTAGTGATGTGGAACGCTATGGTGGTAGGAACATGAGGGGCTGCTCGCCTTATGGTGGTCAGGAAACAGAAATGGAATAGAGGAAGTGGCCAAGGCAAGATATGGCACCAATGACACACCCCCAGTGACCTGTGCTCACATACTTGGCCCCGAAGCCTGCTTATCACTACTTCCCAGTAATGCTAGGATGTTTTCCCAAGTGTTTTTCTTCTCCTACACCCACTCTCTCCTTGGGCTCAGATTTCAGATGATAGTGCCATGTGGAAGCCTGAATCACAGGGAGTTTTATTTGTATTGCATTGGTTTTATAGCATTTTGGGAAGATACATAAGAAAAGAATATTGAAGCCTCAGCGGTGCAGAGGTTGGGTCAGGCCGCTTGGGGGAAGCCTCAGCAGCGAGAGCCATGGCCTCCTGAAATTATCTCACCACTGGAAACTCAGCCCCAACCACACCTGCACTTGGAGGAGCGACCATCTGAGCCTTGAGTCATCAGAGCCACAGCCCCCAACTACACCGCTTGTTCACAGCTCCACCTGCTCTGAATGGAGGACGAGATGGGTGGACAGCAGTCCACTCAGCAACATAAAGAGCAATACAGCACCGCCAGAAACTAGTGGTTCTACAGCAGCAAGACCCGAACACCCCGGTGCAGATGAAAATGACCTTAAAAATAACGTTATGAAGATGATTGAGACCATTAAAAAGGAAATGAAAAATTCCCCTAAAGAAGTGGAGGGAGAGACAAGCAAAAAATTGAAAAAAAAATCAACAAATCCCTTAAAGAAAACCAAGAAAAAGCAATCAAATAGGTGAAAAAAATGGTCCAAGACTTGAAAACTGAAATAGAGGCAACAAAGAAAACACAAACCAAGGAAATCTAGACATGGAAATTTTAAATAAATGATCAAGAATTATAGAAGCAAGCATAAACAACACAATAAAAGAGATGGGAGAGAGAATCTCAAGCATTGAAATGCAATAGAGGAAATAAATTCATCAATCAAAGAAAATGATAAATCCAATAAATCCTTATCACAAAATATCCAGGTAATCTGGGACACCATGAAAAAATCAAACCTAAGAATAATAGAAATTGAAGAAGGAGAAGTCCAGCTCAAAGGCACAGAAAATAATTCAACAATATCATAAAAGAAAACTTTCCCAACTTAAAGAAGGTCATGCCTATGAAAGTACAAGAAGCTTACAGAACACCAAATAGACTAGACTCCCCCAAAAGTCCCCTTGCCACATAATAACCAAAACACTAAACATACAGAATAAAGAAAAATATTAAGAGCTACAAAGGGAAAAGGCCAAGTAACATATAAAGGCAGACCTATCAGACTTACACCTGACTTCTCAATGGAAACAATGAAAGTCAGAATGTATTGGTCAGGATGAATAAGGAAAATGTGGTACATTTGTACAATGAAGTACTATTCTGTGAAAAAAAATAATGAAATTTGCAGGCAAATGGATGGAACTAGAAAAAAAACCATATTGAGTGAGGTAACCAAGACCCAGAAAATCAAATAATAAGTGGATATTAGACTTAAAGCAAGGGATAATCAGCCTATAGTCCTCAACCTCAGAGAACCTATAAAACAAAGACTCTAAGAGAGACACACATGGATCTACTTAAGGAGGAGAAAAAGACAAGATCTCCTGAGTAATTTGGGAGCCTAGGGGCAAGGGGAAGGTGGAAGGAGAGAAGGCAGGAAGGAAGGGGAGTGGGGAAAATGTATAGCTCAATAAAAACAATAAAAAGAAGGCAGAAAATTGTTTTTCCAAATAATATTTTCTTTGCAGGAATTCAAAGCCATATGTTAGTCATTGCTGCTAAGACAAGTAGTGCAGTAATGCTATACTTCCCTGAGTTAAATCTCTAACCCCAGTGCTACAATTTTTCTAAAAGTTGGCTTTTGCAAACATGTGCTCTTCTAGACAAGGGCTTTTAATAGTAAAGTTGAGTCAGATGCTTTTTGAAATTACTGGAGATAGAAAATCAATTATTTGCTAAAAACTTATTCTTTTTAATATGAAAAAAGAATATTCAATCAGTCACTATTGTCCTAGGTCTAATCCAAGCTCCTCCACATCTTTTAAAATAGTAAGTGATGTGGTAGAGAAATTAACTTTCATATTTTTAGCCCTCTGTGGTGGTTTGAAAGAAAATGCCCCAAAGGAAAAAGCACTATTAAGAGGTATGACTTTGTTGTAGTAGATACGGTCTGGTTGGAGGAAGTATGTCACTGTAGAGGTGGGCTTTGAGGTCTCATATATGCTCAAGATACCACCCAGTGTCACAGACCACTTCCTGTCTGCTTGAATGATGTAGAATTCTCAGCTACCTCTCCAGCACCATGTCTGCCTGCACACCACTATACTCCCAACTGCTATGCTCCCTGTCATGAAGATAATGGACCAAATCTCTGAAACTGTAAGTAACCATCTCAATTAAATATTTTCTTTATAAGAGTTGCCATGATCATGGTGTCTCTTTACTGCAAGGAAACCCTAACTAAGATGCCCTTCCTCATTGTCTTTGAACCCCAGTAAACTTCGTTTGTGTAGCTCAGTGTAGCAGCCTTTTCTTCAGTGGTTCTGAGTTTTACATATGATTGCTCCTTTTGAAGTTGTTCTAAAAACATATATTGCTTTCTTATTTCATGATGATTTCAATTTTTGTTCTTAAATCTTTGATTCATCTGGATAATTCAATGTTCAAGAACGAGAAGAACTGCACATTTCCTTCAGTACCTAGCAATTCCCAAGCGTTACATGGCTTAAAAGAATTTTTCCAACCAATTGATTTCAGATGGCGCTGGCACTTTTGATTTATACTAAATATCTGTTATTTAAAAATGCATACTCTGAAACCACATTACACATGCAACACATACATGAGGTATATTTAAGGATAGGTGGAAGTAAGAGAAAGGAAATTATGAATTTGGTTTGATTATTCGTTGCAAAAGTTTGCAAAGAAAGAAAGAAAGAAAGAAACCAAAACCACAGCCATGGTGGAGAGGAAATAGTGTCCTGTGTACAGTTGGCATTCTGAGTAGAGGTAGGGAAACTGCCTCAGTGTGGCTGATCCAAACCCTGGTGTGGGGGGTTCTGCATGAGTCTGCATGTATATTAATTTTGTGCTAAGAACAGAGAACCAGCAAGTGTTAGACCCGATCCCTCACATCTGCCACTTTCTCCTCTGATAACTGTGTCATTCACCCATAACAGGCTTCATCTGTCAGCCCGTCTAGTGCCCATCCAGGACTTGCCAGCCCCTCTCCCCTCAAATTTCTAAAGGAAACTACATTGTTCTAGTTTCAGCTGTGGAATACTCTATGACCTGGCTGGGATTCTGTCTCAGGCCGGTCTCCCTCTGAGATCACACATTTCCCTGAACACACTGCATTCTGGATCCATGGCTGATCCAAGATGCCCTGTGTTCTTGTTCTTGTCAGAAATAGAGGTGGTTTGGTTGGTCGGAGTCACCCCTCTTGCATTAGGACTAAATATCATCACCCAAATGTCTTACAGATTCATTTTGAAATCTAGCCTTAGAAGCCCATCAGGGCTTCTGGAAGTGATGAGATCATAAGGGTGGAGCCCTCATGAATAGGATTAGTGCCCTTTGTAACAACCCTAGAGAGTTCTTCCTGCTCTTCCCTCCATGTAAGGAAAGGGAGAATGGAGCCTTCATCAGCATGCAACCATCCCGGACTCCAGAGTTTGCAAAAACATCCTTTAATAACTGTTCCTTCTTTCTCCATGCTCCCCTCTCAATTGACTTGTCTTGGAAATAGTAACAATTGTTATTCATTACAAGATATCTAAAAGTGGGGATGCCTGGGTGGGCTGGGGTGAACTCCCCCAAAGTCAGGTGCACCGTAACCCCTCTGGCACACACTAAGCTGGATTCATGATTTTGCCCATCAACAGGCTGCTCCATGTGAAGCCGTCGAACATCAGGATGATGAAGGGCCCGTCGAATTTGACAGTGAGTGGTTCAGATGTCACCTCTAGGGGAGCCCCTCTGGTGGTTCTGGTTGGTTCCCCTGTCTCATCCAGTTGCAGCAAGGCCTTGTGGAGCATCTGTGAGAAACACACCAGAGGCAGGAAATGAGCACCGGTCGTGAGGCAGGAACTATCCACGTCTCATCACGTGGACATCTCACCCTCCGCTCCACAGGAGGGGAAGCAGCCAAGATTCCCAAAGCATCACGTGTTTGCTCCTTGTTTAAGCAGCAGCTACAGAGCCTAGACTGCACCTAACTTCCTCCCTGCTGGGACACAGGCTGCATGCACCACACAGAGATCAGAGGAATTGTGGTTCATGGTCTATCTTGGGCTCTACTTACCAGATCCCAGGCTTATGGAAACAGCAGAGTTGAATTTTTATGAAGTGCTTGTGCCTACTGTGCCTAGGAAAGCCCTGGCTGAGGCAGAAATGCAAATTCTTGGCTGTTGATGTGTTCCTTTTAATGATTAAAATTAGATGAAATTACGGAGACTGCTAAATGGTTGACAGATCCTTCCCCGGAAACTAAACAATGGGTGGCAGTCAATGGATTCCCAGTCCCCTTGGTGGTGGTGGAGGAGGAGGAGGCTCATCAACCCCACTTCTCAACAAGTATGAAGCTCTCTTCTGAGTGTCACTGTGATAGGTTCCTGCAGCCAGGCAGAGGCTGAGTTGTGACTGGGACCTCTGTAGTGGGTCTTGATGATTTGAGATCTCGTGTGGACAGACCCAACATCAAATGTTTGGCTGTTTTTTGCTGTCATTTGTTTGATTTTGTTAGCTCTGTGACCACGTCAAACTCTTTGCCCTTCCTAGGTTAAGGATTCCCCTGAGCAGTTGGGATAATGTCTCCTATATAAATCCAAAGCGTTGGTCTGTGGTAAGTGTGTTTTGGTACCTTAGAACATGCAGTCCTTCAGTACTTCTGGTACAGTCATAGTGGAAAAAGAATTTTTTTCCAATTTTTCAAAAAAAAGAAGGAAGGAAGAATGGAAGGAAGGAAGAAGGAAGGAAGGAAGGAAGGAAGGAGGAAGAAAAAGGAGGCGTCTGTGTTTCTGGGCTTCCTCAGCGATTTTACTCAAAGCCCTTGTGTTTTGAGGACAGTGTCCACATCTGAGTAATGGAAACAGAGCCAGATCCTAGCACAGGCTTGGCACATAATTGGTATTCAATCAAAATGTTATGAATTGAGAACGTCAAGCTGAAGGCTGAGGCATGAAATTGAGTAGAAGGCTCAGTGTGCTGTTGATGAGACCGTTAGTGTGTCCTCTATTTCTTTTTGCCAGGGGCTACTCTCATTTCTGCCATGACAACTTTTCTCAGTGTCCCCTCTCTTGTGAAGCTCCATGGGATGGGTGACTGCCTGGGCCATGACTCTCCCTTGTCAAGAGCTTTTTGTGTGATTGTTTTCTTGCTGAGCCTCTGTTTACTGAACTGTAGTTGAAAGGGCTTGGGCCTGGGGTTTTCAGCTTGGGACATAGAAGAATGCTGTGGAATAATCCTTCTGTACACTGTGCAAATTTATGCTGCTGTGATCAGTTTAATAAATAAGCTGACTGGCCAATAGCTGAACAGGATAAAGTTAAGTGGGAAAGCAAAACCGAGAATGTTGGGATAAAGAAGGGTGGAGTCAGAGGAGTCGTCATCCAGTCAGAGAACGAGTCAGACACACAAAATGGAATAAAGGTAAAAGCCACGAGCCTCAGGGTAGCACATAGGTTAGGTTAATAGAAATGGGTTAAGTTGTAAGAGCTATTAAGTAATAAGCCTGAGCTACTGGTCAAAAATTTGTAATTAATATTAAGCCTCTGAGTGATTATTTGAGAGTTGCCTTGGGACAGAAAAACTCCACCTACAGGGGACCATTCACAAATGTGCTGTGTTGCTTACTGTTAAGATATTTAGTGTAACTTTTGGAGAAAAAGCTCCCAAGACACTTACCTTTGATGACTGCAGTAGAGAATCCTGGGTGATGCCTGAGAAAATGGACTGATTGGCAAAAAAGTCTGCAATGCCCATGCCTTCCAGCACATCTTTAAGGTCATAAGTACCAGTCATGGAGACTTTGGGGATGTACAGGTTCAGTTGCCTGTTCAGGGTGAAGCAGGAAAGGTTAGAGGGTCCAAGACTAGAGCTAGAGGCAGACAGCAACACATCCTTTCCCAGACAGACGTCCACTTTGTATGATCTCTTCGGCACATTTAGCACCAGTCTGACTCACTCACTAGGGATGAAAGGCAGGGAAAGAGGCCGGAGCTATCTCTTCCTCATATGTAAGGCTTCTTCTCTGGGTCTTTGAATTGCCTAAATTTATTTTTTCCTAGATAATTCCTTTGAGCTGATTATATCTGTAAATATAGGTTAATAGTCATCTATAATAGTCAATCTTTTAGTCGTGTTAGTTAGATTTTCTAGATGTGCAAGGATGTATTTCCAATAAATAAATATTCTTCAGATCTTTCAAAGACCTACAGAATATGGCATTTAAAGTGTTTTAAAAACTTAGAACTTTTCATGACAATGAGACACATCTGCTCCTGGCAACACCAATTACTTCAAGAGGAAGATGGACATTGAAGAGGCTCCTTATGGAGTTGGTTAGCCATTTGGGCAAGAAAGTGCTCTTGCCTGGTCTGCTTGATGAACTGTACATGCAGGACCCACAGAATAATGACTGCTAAACTTGCCTAAAGGTGAGACAGTCCTTTGGGGTTCCTGCTTCATAAAAGAGTCTGCCAGACATTCTGCAGGATACAGAAGAAAGTGACTTGTCAGTCACTGCCAATGTAGGTAGAACTGTCTTTGAAATTCCCTGCTTCATAGAAAAATCTGCTGGATACTATGGGCCTGTAGGCCAAAGATGGGTGCCCCAATATTACAAAAGAACTTTGCGTGACTGTCCAGGCAGTGAGATGTCTCTGTCAATTCTATAGTTTTGGAAGTTGCTTATAATGTACCTCCTGTTTACTTAGGTAGTATTATATCCTTCTGGAGTCTTTGATGGAGTTAAAGAATAGATAGCTATAATTATAGTTTTCCTTAGTTATGATAAAAGATAAAGTAGAAATAAATATTGTAACTGTAATTCTTTCTTGATACCTGTTTTGTTATATGTAATCTTACCTTGTTAAATTTAAAACCTTCCTTTTTATTTAGACAGAAAAGGAGAAGTGATGTATGCTGTGAGTATGTTTTATTACCATTGGTTAATAAAGAAGCTGCTTTTGGCCAATGGCTTAACAGAGTAAAGCCAGGATAAAAGATATATACAGTAGGCAGAGTCAGGGAGAAGCCATATAGCTGCCCTCAGGAGAGCGGTACCTCTGCTGGAGCCCACCAGAACCTTGCCGGTAAGCCATAGCCATGTGGCCTTATACAGTTTAATAAAATGGGTTAATTTAAGAATAAGAGTTAGCCAGAAATATGCTTAAGCTATTGGCCAAACAGTATTGCAATTAATACAGATTTTTGTGTGGTTATTTCAAGTCTGGGCGGCCGGGAACAAAGAGTAGCCTCCCGCAACACTGGACCACTGATCAGTACTTCTGGTCTCTGAAGAAGATAGGAGAAGAGTTAGTGAGAACTCCTGGCCAGGAGTTCCTGGCCAAGCTATCCATGGGATTCTATGTCTCAAAAGCCAAATCCTGTCCCCTCTGCTAAAATCCTTATCAAGCTGCTTCAGCCTATGTGCTGTTAAGGCCTCTGATGGTTGATCTTCATTTTCAAATGACTGGACATTAGAATTGCCTAGGAGACACATTTCCAGGCATATCTATCAAAGCCTTTTTAGAGAGGTTTAACAAAGGAGAGAGGACCCATCAAAATGGCTTGAGTTCTGATATGAGATGGAGGAAGAGCAAGATCAGAGGGAAAAGCTTCTGCTTGCTTTCGTGTCTTGCTCGCAAGTTCATCTGACCTTTCACCTACTCTGTTGCTACCACCACCAGCTGTTTCTGCCAAAAGGCCTTCTGGGGTCTATATTGGAGAGAAAAAAGTCTCTCTGCCTCATTTTCCAGTAGCATACACCTCATAGAAACCAACATGGTGCCTGGAGGACTTACCTTTTAGTCAGAGTCTTGTCCCACCTCTCAACTGTGTCCCGGTTGAGTGCGGCGGTGACAGTGTCCATCTTGCCCTGGTCAGGAAGGATGAGGAAGGTAGTTCCATTTCCATTTCCCAAATACTTCATCTGTACCAGCTGGCAGGGAATCACCGTGTCCCGAAGGTAACCGATATTTCCTGACTGGAACATCATGGGTACCCGGACTGTGATTGTCTCGTTCACATGGAAGTCCTCCTCCTTGGTGTTCTTTGGGTTTATGGGAAGTTGCCACATGCCTAAAAAGATGTGAGGGAGGGGGAAAGATGGGGTAAGAGAATATCAATCACTAGGTTTGTAGACTGGAAATTAAAATAAAGCCTGGACACCCTCTTCTAAAGCAGCTGAACACCCACTGTCCCTGTAGAAACAAGCTAGGCAGCTGTCTGCTGTGTGCCAGGTTACCCCAGCTTGGGCTGCCTGGTTTCCAGAAAGATGAAATGATCCCCGGGGTTTACAGACTGTTCTGCATGCAACAGAGTGGGCCAGCAGCAGCATGCTGGGCTATGAAGCCTGTCCTGTTCTATGCCTCTCTAGTGGCTGAGGATTAGATTTGCTTGAGATTAGCTTTCAAACAAAGACAAGGGAAGAGAAACAGGGCAGTAGGGTTTTGATTTAGGGTAGGCCCCACTTAAGCTAGACTTGTACCTGAGCCTCTAGGCCTGAGGTGAGACTCAGTGCTGAGAGTTCTGGGGGTCCTAGAAACTCAAACCTTGAACTCAGGGTCTCTGGTGGGAAGAGGGAAGAGCTGGCTTTGGGAAAGTGAATCATCTTTAAAGTCTAGTCAGTTCCTGGAGGAGACTCATACCTCTGTCACTTGGAATGAGGGCATTCTAGACAATGGTGCTTCCTGTACAGGGTAAGGATGAAGGATGCCTTTAGGCTCACAGTTCCCCCATCACCCTCAGCTGGTGGGGTCATCATCCAGTCTGTTTATTTGTTATGGTATTGGTCAGTTCTGACAGGAAGAATGTTGCTCCTTAGACTGAGTCAAAACTTGTCTGCTTGCAACAACCTCCCAACCCCCAGCCTCTTCTGGTCTTCAGGAGCCCCAAGCAGTGCAGCCCATTCTACTTTCCTGACTCCTGCAGTGATCCGACAACAAATGCATATAGCCACTGTCTTTAGTAACTTGTTACAGTACTATCAAGAGGCTCACATGGTCTTCTATGAAGGCAGGCATGCTCAAGGACAGGAGAGGAATATGGTATAGCCAGACATGTAGTGTGTGTGTGTGTGTGTGAGAGAGAGAGAGAGAGAGAGAGAGGTGTGTGTGTAGTGTGTGTATCAGTGCTATATGTGTTTGTGTGTGCACTGTATATGTGTATATGTTGTGCATGTGTGCTATGTGTGTTTGTGTGTTGTGTGTGTTTGTATGTGTATTGCGTGTGTACGCACACACTGTGTATTAAGATCTTAGTTGAGGAAAGGTGTAAGACACGAGGCCAAAGAAGACAAAAAAGTAGAGGCTTTCAGTCTTGACCCTCTGGATATTTAGGCATGATGGCACCATGGGGGGCTGTGTGTGTTTGTGTATACATCAGTGTATATGTTCTCTCTGTTTGTGTGTTTGTATATGTTTGTGTTTATGTGTGCATTGTGTGTGTGTGTGTTCATTGTGAATAGCATTGTGAGTAGCATATCCAGCAGACTTTCTGGCCACCAATAGTTCATCCTATCTCACTCCTGGATGTGACATTAAAAAAAAAATGTTCGCCAAGGTTGCCTGATGTCTCTGGGAAGGTAGGGGCTTCAGTTTCACCTTCAGCTGAGAATCAGTGTTATAGCAGAAGTTCAGATTTGATCTCAGGGATGAGATGTCTCCAAACTGACCGATCATAAAAGTGGCATTAGGTTAGCGGAGGGGCACACATGGCACATTCTTGGTTTTCTGCAGAAGTGTTGTTTCGGGAGGTCTGTCATGAGTCCTAGAATCTATACTTTTAACAAATCTTTTAGGAAGTGTTCGAGAACAGCACTGTGGATGTTCCATCCTGCTAGACACTGGCATGTGTTAGGGACAAGACATGATCAGAACTGGCTGTGAAATGAACCCTAGGCCATTTTGTATGGGATGGCTTTGAGGGTACTAGGGAGATGTGCATTGGAGTGGGACCTCATCAGGACGGAAAGGAGGGGAGAACAGTACCTCTGAGAAAGATGTAGTTGACCAGGACGAGGGGGGCTTTATGATCCTCTTCTGAGAATACATCTGTCATTTTCCTCTGTGTCTTACTCTCGACATACTTGTTGATACTCTTGGAGGCTTCTGGCCAGCTCTTGGTGATCACGGCCTCTGACTCATGATACTTTTTGATTTCTGCTAAGAATGAGTCCCTTGGATTCAGGCTCTGGTCAAGGAACATGGCGTTGCCCATGTTCATCTTCAAGTGGCTGTCTGACTGGCTGAGAAGGTGACTGAGCTGCTGGAAGCCCTGGTATATTTCATCTTCTGTCATCTCTGTCAGGTTGAAACCCTCCTCCTGGAACAGCTTGGTCTTTGTGGGGCCTGAGGCACCATGGGACATCATGACCAAGGCCATGGAGATGCTCATGGGGGAGATTAAGACATTCTTGTGAGGATCCATGGCCGCTAGGCGATTATACAGGTTGAAGCCAAAGTCAACATTGGTGGGAGCCAGGCCTCGGTGAGGGTTCCCGGTATGGCTGTCATCTATAGGATTGGCAGTCACAAGGCCACTGGTGGAGAGCCACAGGAGACAGGCATACAGAGCAAATGGCATCGTTCTGGTTGACTAGGCCCTGCCAAACCAAGAGTGTTTGTTAGACGGTATGGCAGTCCCAGAATCAGGGCACACAGTGCCTGGGAGGCAGGCCAAGACTCCGCTTTTTTTCCTCTCCCATTTTTTCCTTCACATTGGTTGTGAGAGAAATTCACTCAGGCAGTCACAGCAAAGTTCTGGACTTCGGGGTCCTCAACTGAAGACAGCTTTACTCAGCGCCGTTGCTACTTAACCCAGCATTTCCTCAAGCATTTCACCTATATTCGTGTGCACTTTTTGTCAAAAAACTCAAAGTAGGCTTTCCTAATTCTACTGAAACTGAGACAGGTTAAGTACCCATGCAAACTCATATATTTAATATACAAGAAAAAAAAACAAAGTGTGACTGAGCTCTTCTTCAAAACTGACGGCTTGCTAAACTGTGCTCAGTTCGCCCAGTACGAAACCCTGCTAAGTGGGTTTCCCTTTGATTCCCGATCAGAATGAAAAGCCACTGGACATAGTGAGAAGCAGATGGGGAGAGAAAGATGCCCTGCTAAAGGGCTGTGTGCAAACAATTGTCAGGCTAGGTGTTGTTGGGCTTTTACTTTGTAAATCCACCTTTTTATTTTTCGTGTGATTTTTAAAAGCCTTGATGTTGACTTGTTGAGGGTCTCCGTGCTAACCGCTGTCTACAGCAGAAAGAAGCCTCTATGATGAGGTAAGGTTGAGAGTCATTGCACTAATCCCTGGGTAAAAGATAAGAACCCAGCAGGCTGATTGCTACTATGTTTCTGGAGCACAGCATCAGCCGTAGGTTTTCCATTGCTGGCTTCTGGAAAAGAAGAATCAGTTCCAGAAGGCCGCTCCAGAGTGAGAGACTAGCCATGCTTCTGGAGATGGCCCTACACCCGTGCACATACTAACCACACCAAGTGGACTCGGTACTCAAAAAAAAGAAGGCCAGGTAGTGGTGGCGCACACCTTTAATTCCAGCACTCGGGAGGCAGACCTGCATGTGTTTGAGCTCAGCCTGGTCTACAAAGTGGGTTCCAGGATATCCAGAACTGTTACACAGAGAAACCCTGACTAGAAAAACAAATCAAAATGACAACAACAACAACAACAAAAGCCCCTAAAACTCAAAAACAAACAAAAGCACATGAAGTTGGGAAGATGTGGTAGGGACTACCCAATCTACCAAGATAACATCTGTGACTGAATAACGGAGGACACAGCTGTGCAGAAGACGAGTTTTCAGGGGCTCCCCAGTGCCCACATGAAGCTCACCCTCATTCATGTAGGTGACTCACATGAGTGAGGGTGACTGGGTCACATGGTTGCCCCCAGAAACAGGAGGAAGAGAAAGGAGACCCAGCCTACTGGATCCTCATGACCTGTCCTTCAGTCTTAAGTCGGAATGCTGTCTGTCTGTCTGCAGCACTGCTGGATGTCACAGGCTTCCTTTGGACACACACTGGATTGTTATCCTCCTTCAGGCCAGGTCAGAGGTTAGGGCAGGACACAGAAGGCAGGCATGTCACTACAGTCCCTGTAGTGTTTGCTGAGCTCTGTCCTGGCCTGAGACATGGAGATAAAGATCACCCTACCCTGCCCTGCCCATGGCTCCACTCTGTGGGTCCATCTTTTCCACCCCCTGCCCAACTCATTCTCTTTCGGTCTTTGACACTCAGGTCACTGCCTCTAGAAAGCCCCTCTTCTTCCCTTCTCTCTGCCCCTTCCTTGTTTTCTACACATGGTTTCTTCACTGGACCATTACCTGTCTATGATCCCCTTTGGGGGAAAGACCCTAGTTACCCGGATCTCCTTCCTCTTCCTGCCTTTTTTGAGGGAGGACCGTGTGCCTCACTCTTCCTGTGTCAAACCTGCAGGATGGAGCTGAACACCCCCACAGCCTCACGAGACTGTTGTGAATGTCTGGTGTGGCTGTCATCAATACATGACTTATATAAACTCAATTCATGAGTCAGCTTCAGCTCATTGCAGAGCTGGGCAAACTGAACAGGCCAAGGCAGGGCATCCATAAAGGACAGGGCACGCACCTCCTGAGCCACCCTGCTTATCTCTATCGAAAGCCACATGGCCAGCGAGGTGGCTCTTTAAGAGCAGCCTGTGAAAGGACTGAGGGCCATATGTTTCTTTCTACTAACATCCTCCTTGCCAGTCCTCTCCGAAGTGACTTGGATCAGGTGAGGAGTTAGGCAGGGATCGTAGCTCGTCAGATGTTGCAGAAAGTTAGTACAGCTCTTTCTTCTAACAGCATCATCCCCATCCCAGATTACCAAATGAGGAGCCATGAAAGAGGGGTGTGTGGGCACTCTTCAGAGTGCCCCTGCATGTGCAAGCTGTGCACCCCTAGTCCCATCCCAGAGTCCTGCTTGGCATTCATCCGTCTCAGCTCTGAGATTCCCTCCAGTTCCTGACAGCTAATGCTGAATCCCTGGGGAATCGGTGAAACACAGCCACCACCCTCAGTGACAGTTCCCTCAAGGCAGTAACAGAGGAGAAATTAAAACCCAGTGGTGACCACCAGATTCTAGGGTCTGGGAAGTCCTCCACAAGGTTGTCACATTTCACGGCTGATGCATGTTCATCTACTAAAAATCTCCAACGAGCAAACGGCACACGTGGCTGTGTTCTGGAGTGCAAAGATGCAGAGGTGGGGACCCTGGCAAGAGCAGAAGGAATAGAGTACTCTCAGGGGTAACTCACGTCTGCAGTAGGCTCAGGTCGCTCCCGCAGGCTCCGCTCTGCTGCCTGGGATCCTAGCAGATGTACAGTAGGCTCCAGGGAGGCTGCCTACTAAATCCTGTTTGTCAGTATCTCTGCTGGTTAATGGTTAGAGGAGGGGGACAGTGGCCTTCACCATTTGGTGGTCCCCACCCCCCAAACATCAGCCAATGGGAGGCTTTATAGGTAGTGAGGGTAAACAGCAATGCTGCAAATTAACTTTCCACGGCATCTGCTCCCTGAAGTTTTACTTTTGATATCAAAATGTGGCTAGAATTGCAACAGTGTTTGTGGTTGCTCGTGCCAGCTGGCGGGGGACTCACTGGTGTCATTAATAAGCACCATGACATGGACTCTGTGAAGAGTCAGATTCTTGGCACCAGGAGGGGAAGAATCAGCTAAGGGTGGGAGAAACAGATGTGCGTGAATGAATGTGTAACCAGCTAAGGGCTTTCTGTGGGTTATCTCAAGCCTCCCAATGGCTCATTGAACCAACTGCTATCATCTTTAAGAGACTGACTTGGCCTAGTTTTTTGTTTTGTTTTAATTTGATTTTTCTGTAGCTACCGGGGATTGAACCCGAGGCCTTATGCATGCTGGTCAAGGGCTCCGCTGCTGAGCTATATCCTCATCAGCATCTCTTCTTGACACAAGGAAACGGAGAGGTGCTGGAGATGAAGTGAGCTGCCCGAGACCGTTTACATCCTGACGTCCAGTGTCCTTCCCCCACATGTTCATTCCCCGATCTCTTTTGTTGCAGGAGGCACCCAGCAAAGCCTTGCAAAGCAGAAGGAATTGGGTATAGTGGTGCCCTCCTTTAATCCCAGCACTAGGGAGGCAGCTCAGGTGGAGCTCTGTGAGTTCAGGGTACCCTGGTCTTCATAGGAAGATCTAGGACAGCTAGGACTACACAGAGAAATACTGTCAAAATGAACCCAAAAAACCCAAACAAGTTATTCACAAGACCTCTATTAGTGTTTTGGTTATTATTTAATATCAGTAGTTCCCATTTGTTTATATATACACACTCTCATATATTTATATTCCTCCTCTCCTTAATAAGCTGTGTGTGTGTTGCTCATACACAATTCTGGGTGCTTGTGGAGGACAAATCCAACTTCACGTAATCTCCCCTGGGCTCCATCCATTAGTTTTTGAAGCAGGGTTTCTCTCAGGCTTGGAACTCTCCTCAGTGATTAGCCCTTTTCCACCTCCTCAGCCCTACCATTGCAAGGAAATGCCATCATGCCCAGATTTTTTTTTTGTAACGTGGGCTCGGGGGATTGAACTCAGGACCTCGAGTTTGCAAGGCAAGCACTCAATTGACTGAACTATCTCCTGTCCCTTTGATAAGTCTTTTTAGAGAGATCTGTCTAACTAATCTATAGATGATTCAGCTTTTAGTTTTTAAGAAAATTGTTATTTTCTTAAAGAGAGGTTGGAGGGGGAGGAGAGAGGGTAGATGTAACCTACATTTATTTTTAGAAAACAATTTTTAAATAAATCTCTGGATGTTGTCTTCTGTTTTCTTGAGATAAAGTCTCAGTTTACTTCATCACTGTTGTTGACAGAGACAGTTCGTTTGTTTCCCAGCTGCCCAGACCTGAAATAATCATTGAAAATCCCATATCACACTGTGACCAAAGACATGGCCTACTCATCTTAAAGAAGAATTAACCTGGGTTCTTGGTTTCAGGTCATTTAGTCTGTCATGGCAGGAGAATATTGTGGAACACTTCTGTTCACATTACTGGGAGCCAGAAGGCAGGACAGGAGGGTGGTACTCCCCTGAGTTTATTCTGTCTGGGTCCCAGCCCATGTGTTGGTGTCACTCACATTCAGGGTGCGTCTTCTTTCCTCACTGAATGTTCTCTGTGAACATTCTCGCGGACACACTCGGGCACACCTGTATCTCCTAGTCAAGTTGACAATGAAGATGAAGCCCCATGTCTTGAAGCCATAACATGGCCATTTCATAACACAAAACACGCTAGGTCCCTGCTGGAGAGCTGAAATCGCCTCCCAGTTCCAGCACTGCTCAACAGCCTAAACATAAAGTCTCCACTGAGACTCGGGGAACTCTTGGCTGTGCACTCCAGTAAGCCTGAAAGGAGGTTAAGTGCTTTCAAATTTCAGCGGTACATGACAAATGATCCCATTCCAAAAGGAAGACTAGTCAGCCGCAAAGAAGGATGGGACCAAAGCGAGAAACAACAAAACACAGCAGCACAAACGTTTATCCTGAGCTCCACATTTTGTTTCTAGGGCCCATGATCCCATGATGTGCACCCCAACAGGCCTGAGCAACCCTGCTCCTGCCGCCTTGTGGTTTGCAGCCCACATGGCCTATCTCCTGGGTGGACTTCACTTGTTTCCTTGGCTTTTCTTGGCAGTTATCTTCCGTTCCTTGCATCTTCAACATCCTGGGGTACCCACTGATGCTCACACGTCACACTCACAGTTTAAAACATTATCCCCTGGGAATTTGGTCCCACTGCACACAGTTAACTCCCTGGCCTTCTATAAAAATGTGTGTGGATGTCTCAGTGAGTCTCCATAGCTGTAAAGCCAGTACCATGTGGATGATGTTAAGGACAGCCACCTGGAGAGACATGAACAACTCAGGAAGTAAACAGAGAACTCACAAGGCTCAGGAAACTCCTGAAAGTGACATGACTCACAAGGCCCCTCCCTCCTCGAGCAGAGCAATTATTAAAAGAGGAGACTCTTCAACAAGTTGAGCAGCCTGCCAGTCATTCCAGGAGCTCCAGGGATTCTGGAGCTCATCAGTCATGCATGCTAGGATTGGCTCTTTGTTGATGTGGGTGCTTTTGTGGCACCCACGATCCTGTAAGTAGGCCCAGGAAACTCACTAGTTCACTAAGTGACACTCAGGTGGAATCTTCTCTTGTGTTTGTCACAGTGCCTGCCCTTCATGTCTCCTCAGGAAAAGTCACACAACAGCATTGCTCTTTGGAATCTCATGGCCAGAAAAACTGGGCCCAGGCCTTGCCTGGCATGGGAAAGATCATGTCAAATCAAAGACTACGGTGATTAGATCTTCCAGAGAGGCACTTGGCTGGCCTTCCCCACCCCGGCTATTTGCTCAAGGGGTCATGAGCTATTTACTCAAGGGGTCATGAGCTGTGTTGGCAAATACAGATGTCAACCAGTGCCTGTGGGCGGTATGTGGCCAAGGTATGCTGATTGCTCTTCAGGAGGTTTCCACTCTTTCTCTCAAATCCTGAGCTGAGAATACTGAACCTGGGTGGAATGCCACTGACAGTAAGACCTCCCTTTTAGGCCGTGAGACAAATGTTGTTTCCTGTTGGTCATAACCACTGGAACCACATGCCCTTACTCTTGGTCTCAGGCTTTGGGTAGTCTGTACAAAGCATCCCCCAAGCCTCCATCAGCCCTCATTTTCATGGGGGAGCCATTTAGTTTGCTTTTGTTTCCACATCTTTCCTAATGAGGAGCGTCTGTATCTGTCAAGTTATTTGCTTTGTCTTCTTTCTCCCTTCCTGCAAGTTCAATTCTGCTCTGTTGGTCCAGCAACATGTAACTCACTGAGTTGAGTATGAGGCCTGGCACCTCTCACAAGCTCCCAGCTCTGCTGTTGAATATGTGTTGACTTGCTTATCCTTTCAAGAACCCTATGGGGTAGATGCATTGTCTGTCATCCATTCAAATCCAGGCTTCTTACTTTGCCACATACCCTCCAGAGGTTGCTAGGGTCACTTCAGTCCCTAGAGTCTCTCTGGAATGTCATGAAGGTTAGATGAGGTAATCCATTGAAAGAGTTTGGAATAGTGCTGACCTACTGCACCTTTACTTACCATGGATGCCAGTGAGTATTGCTACTTCCCCTGGGCATCTGGGAAAGCTGGCAGAGATGTCAGATGAATTTATTAAGTCACTTGTGCCAAGCAAATGGACAACGAAATGGATTTGCAAGCACGTACCCTAGCCAAAGCCCATGCTCCTGCCATCTAACTCTACTGTCCTGTCTTTGTTCATCTCTCCCTTCTTCATACTGGGGCAGACAGAGGTCACGGCATTCCAGGTTTGAACCCTTGGAGCTCCAAGGAACACATCTGTTTTTAGAGTCTAAAACAGGGTGCTGAGATGGGGTAGAGCGGTTATGTGAATGCCTTCCATTGGTCCAGATGTGTCCCATGGAGTTACAAGTCAACAGTGTCCTGAGAAAGTTCCAGAGACACAAGGTAAGGGAGGCAAGTTCTGTAAGAGGTCATTATCTCTCCTGAGGAAAACTGAACAAAATCTGAGTTCTGCCCGGAGCTCTGTCAGGATCTAGCTCCACAATCTTAAACAAGTTGCTTGAATTCTCTAAGGCTCAGTGTATTTGTTAGTTTTCCATTCCTGTAATACTAGCAGCTGGGAAATTTTAAAAAGACAACAAGCCCATTCGCTTCACAGTTGTGGGGCTCTAGGGCATTTGTTCCCAATCTTCCTGATGCTGTGGCCCTTTAATACAGTTCCTCATGATGGCTGTTGCGAAATGACTTTTTCAAGGTCATAATTTTAAGGTTCACATTTGGTTCTATAAATTGACCTAATGGGTTTTGATAAATGTGCACTGTCATGTGTCCACTGCTACACGTCATACAAAATATCTTCTCACCCTGTGTTCCATTTCTTAATCATTTCCTCTTCCCCTAGCCAACTGGAACTACTGATCTTCCTGCTGCCCCAAGATCTTCCTTTCCTGAGTGTCAGATGATTGGAGCCCCACAGTCTGGGGACTCTCTAATGAGTCTCTTTGTCAACACAGAGTACATGTCAGGCCGCTGCATTCCTTTATTATTTCATAAGTCAGATTCTTCTCATTGTGTTAGCTCATTATTGCTCGGCAATGCTTTGTTGCCTGAATGCTTATCCATCTTATTGAGGAACATTGTTTTTTTTTTTTTTTTTTTTTTTTTTTTTTTTTATTTATTTTTTTTTTTAAATTTATTTATTTATTAAGGATTTCTGCCTCGTCCCCACAACCGCTTCCCATTTCCCTCCCCCTCCCCCGATCAATTCCCCCTCCCTCATCTGCTCGAAGAGCAATCAGGGTTCCCTGTCCTGTGGG